CCTGAGATATTTCTTTACAACACACCATGGTGGCTGCTATGGAAGGAAAGTGTCAACAGCCCGTAAGACCAGTTTCAACTGGAGATGCGGGCAGTTTCCTTGAGATGTTCACCTTGGAGAGGGTGGCCAGCCCCGCACAACTCGTGAGCCCTGAGCAATGACTGAGCTCACAACTGGCAACAAGTGGCCTTTAGCCAAGACCTCTCTCCTTGCTTTCTCAGCCAATAAAGTTTAATTCCTTTGTTCTTAAACGTTAGTCCAAAAGTGTAATCAAACCCTTAGCCTCAGCATCTTGGGGGCTCTCTCATGCCCAGAGACATCTGCTGGAATTCTCTTCCTTTGCTCTTTTGCTAAGCAATAAACACCAAGTCCTTGTTTGACCTTGCCGGTGTCAGGGGAGTCCCTTCAATTTTGACCGTGGGGCCAAGGCCCCTCATCCGTTCTCCACAGGGAGAACAGAGAACAGTGCTGGCTTTCTCTCAGCTTACCTGTCGCAGCGTGTAGTTTGAGGGTGGGATCAGATTGAGGGCCCTCAAATCTCCCTTGCCCAGTAATAACTGCATCCAAGGAAACGCTGGTTTTCATAAACACACCTACAGCTTCTCCTAGAATCCTAATGACAGACATCTACCATCATGAGACCCACGTGATAATTTAAAGCATTTCTTTTCTGTTTATTAAAACTTTGTCCTCCTTTAACCTTAGCATTGTAGACTTAAAAATAATGTTAAGCCAAACTGTCAAATTAACTGAAAGTAGCTATACTATTTCCTCCAATTCTTAATTTTTCCACATTCAACATATTCTATTGCTGTAGTCATTTCTTATGAGGTTTCCAAATCATTTACCATCCTGTAATTCTCTGCTGAATAAGCTCAAGTCAGAGTTGATTTTATTATTATCATTATCAACCAGTTACCACTGATCAGAAATATGCCATATTGCACAAAATTGAGTGATCTGCTTTAATAATGCAAGTATTTTCATCCCCATACTTTTGTTGTTGTTGAGGAAACTGAGACTCAGAAGATTTAAGGACCTCCTCAAAAATCACATGGGTTACAGTGAAGAGTTTGTCTTCACACCCAGGCTGACTGCCTCGGTGCGTATGATCACCAGCCAGCTGACAACACCCTTGGATGGGACCCCATTGGGGCAGGACTCCACCACGGCTGCTGCTTGCAGGAAGTCAAAGGGCATACTTCCTGAGACCACACAAATGTCTGCCAGCCACACTGCAAAGTTGGTTCCTGCTGAGTTTTTGATTACCTGAAACTCAAAGATGAGTTTCACCTAAACTGTTACTAAGTCTGACTGCCTGTTCTCTGTCTATTTTTATTTCGATCCTCAAAAACAGTAAAGTTTTACTCTTTCTACCTGCCACATTCTTTGCCACTTTGCTTTAATGTTTACACTGTCCACAAAAAATACCCTGGTTTCGGATCTGGGGACTGCTAGTCACTAAATGATTTTTTTTTTTTTTACCTTTATCTTTATTACTTGCAACACTGATGTGATTCAGGAGTAGAGGATTATCATGTCATAGCCACTACCACCAAAGGACCAATAATCCTCTACCACAAACCTTGGTATCACGTTTTGAAAAGTTGGTGTGGAATGTCTTTTGCAGCAACTTGGATGGAGCTGGAAAAGATCATGCTTAGTGAGATAAGCCAGAAAGAGAAAGAAAAATACTGAATGGTTTCGCTCATAGCCGGAGTATAATGGACCAGGTGAGAAAATAGTAATAATGAAGAGCCATGTACCAGAGACATTTTGTGGGGGTGGAGTGGGGAATGGGATCAAAAACGGGGGTGGGGGGTTGGGAGGGAAATACACGGGATTATGGTGATGGCACATGGGTGACTTGGTGATGATAAAAATTCAGTTTAGAGCCCTCTCTGGTGGCACAAAAGGTTAAAGCACAGCACTATGAAGTTACCACTGAAGCATGAGTTCGATCCCTGGGCAGGGAGGTGACCCTCATAGTGCAGCAGACCTCTCCTGACCCAACCTCTGCTCCTATCAGCAGTGTATTTCAGTCAATCTGCATGTTCTGCTCCCCACTCTGTCTCTGGTGAATCATCTCCTCCCCTCTGCCCCCCACACCTCTGGCCTAAACCCCAGTTCTATATGCATAAATAATAAATCTTCTTTAAAAAATTCAGTTTAGAGGATAGCAAAGACTAAAGGTCTTAGTCCCAAGAGCACTGTTTTCTAATATGTTAAACTACTAACCCTGTGTACCTGGCTAGCTAAACTCTATATTTTATAGTTACTACTGGCTAGCTAAATTCTATATTCTATAGTTACTATGTGGAAAAAGAAAAAGACACATTTTGCATGTTTTTTTCAACTACCATCTCATTACTGCTTTGGCAACTGCATGACTGATTTACAATCTGTTTTTCTTATTTAACCAAGTCATCTCCACCTTCACAAAATTTCAAGTATCAGTAGAGAGAGCATTTTTTCTATTACCAATTATTTTGTAAAATTGAAACTTTTGCTGACAAAAGTTTCTGTCTCCCAGAAAAAGTTATTCTTTAGAATCTGTCAAATTTATAAAAATACTTTAATATTACTAGAGCAAATGACCAACATTACCACAACACTCAAATGTCACATTTAAGTAGCACAGAAGTGTATTCAAAGTTAATTAATTGTAAAAAAAAAAATCTGTACTCAAAAATACAGATTATCTATAATGAATTTGAAGCACAGGATATAAAATAAATTTAGTGAAATGTTCATTACCAACCCCTTGGTTAGTTATAAAGTATTAATTCCCCTGCATGAAATTCTGTAATTTTCTAGACTCCTCTTTAGAAATTCTGGTAGCTGAGATTAGGACTGCCAGGTAACTCTGTGTATTCCATTATATAAAAAACAGTCAACAGAAAGACCCTCCTCAAAGCTAAGAAAAAAGGCTTCTCTTCGCTTACATAAGTGAGTCCACACTGGAAAAATACAATGTCTCCTTTAAGCTTGCAAAGTCCTTTAGCATCAGAGTAAAACCCAGATAAGGAATACATGATTGGATCGCTCTATTTTCAGAATAAGCATCTAAATCAATAATTAAACACTTTGGGTTACAAAATAAGTCAAAGTCAAAGCCAATAAAATGCAAGAAGTGCATGAAAGACCTGTGATAGTGTCCTTGGAACAAGCATTTTATTCCCAATAGCAACCATTCTAGAAGACAAAACTTCTAGAAACTAGTGTATGACAGACTAAAACCTTTGATCTTAAGTTGTTATATTCAAAATGTGTGTGTGTGTGTGTGTGTAAAAGGGCGGGTTTATTTGGAAAAAGATAGAGGGAAAACAGAGGCACCTGCACAGACACAAATAGGCGTGAGAGGTACTGCTGCTGCTTTTCAAAGGGACAGTTTTATTAAGACATACCTGCATAGACACAGGTGGGTATGTTAGGGGGAAAGGATGTCCTGAAGACTCTGCAGAGTCCTTTGGACTCCACCCCCTACTCCAGTAAATTACAACTCCCAGCAATACCACAGAAAGAACTGTGAGGACCCAAGGGTGGAGCTAAGCAGGTGTTTTGGGACTTTGGGGATATAGAAGGGAGCCATGTTAGACGTGCTCTCTCTCTTTCTGGACTGTATGGCTGGTGGCTGGTCACCTGACTCTTGAAGAGCTTTCAATATGTGATTGGAGTTCCAAGTCAGTGGAGCTGGTAGGATGTTCTAGTTAACTTGTATCTCTCTCTCTTTCCCTGGGTTGTTCCTTCTCTTTTCCCCTTGTAAATAAACTCATTATTGACCCTTTTTGTGTGTGCCTGCAGTACAATTAAATTTTAAGTACGCGGATGAGGACCTACAGATAGGCAACCCAGTTCACAGTGGGTTCCCTGTAACAGATAGTCTCGGGACAAGAGCTACCTCGAATATATGTATTTTTCAATGTTCCTGAAATTTAGTAACCCAGCCCTAAATGACATTAACAACATGAAATAGGATTGAATTTTCCCTTCCAACACAAGAAACAGGCACATTATGCAAAACATAATAGGAACAATACAAGGATTATAGCTAGAGCAAGCAGAGATGAATGAAAACAGAACATGGGAAATCAGATGGGTTTAATGCCAGCTCGAGAAAAGAGGAATAGCCAGGCATGACCCACTGCCTGTGACACCCGCCAGAAAAGTGAATTGCGTTAGCGTGTGGTGGGAGGGGCTGGCTTGGAGGCACAGGTGATGCCCCAGCACCGCAAAGGGGAGAGATTAGAAGGAGCAGTTCTGTGAATGCAAATGATCAATCTGAAATGGAATCTCTCCACCGTGAGGGAAGCTTCCTGGGCACGAAGACAGACCTGCTCCTAGCCTGAGGTCATTCTCCTCAGAGCTCAAGAACATAACGGCCACGGTCGAGACTGTCATAGTTGTCAAAAGGCTGTGTGTCCACATTTATTAACCTGAATTTGCTAAAAGTTTCTACAAAAATCATTCAACTATCCTTCTCTTAGAGGAAAAGTTTTCTTTACAAAAAGAACCCTTTCACACCAAGCTGCAATGCTTGCCTTGATAGGTATTTTAAAAATTACTCATTTTCTCAACAAGAACATAACATCACTGTTCAAATTATCCCAGTGCTTCTATGTACAGAAATTTAGAAGTTTTTACAAATAAATACTTGAAATCATTTAATTATAAAAGGTAAAACTCATTTAAATTCTAACAACCATGATATTAAAGAAAACATGATTTTTTAAGGTCTCCAATTTGTTTCCTACTATACAAACTGCCAGAAATTTTTTTCTTAAAAAAAAATCATATTTTTTTCTTTTGAGCATAACCTTTTTATGATATTTTAAGTGTTTCTAGTAATGATACTGTTGTAGATTATGGAAAATAATTTTAATTTTAGAAATTGAGTTGAGTAATTTTTTCAAAATTCTTGGATAAAAAGAGGCATCTTGAACATTTTATACAAATATTTCCCAGCTTTCAATAATAAAGGGATTTTTTTTTAAACTTACCTCCACATCACAGGTATATTCTGATCCATCTAGTAGTACCACTTTGCACTGCATGCTTTTAGGCTTTTTAACAATCTTTAATGGAGATCGAGAGAGTTTACTGCTAGATGATTTCTGAGAAAGTTTATCGTCTTCCAATTGCTGATATTCAAGCTGTTTTGCAACTCCAGCAGCAAACTCTCGTTCCTTGTCAGTGACCTGTGAAGAGCAAACAATGAACAGTTTTCATGGCAGAAGAGGAAATATTGCTCAGGCAGTAACAGCACATTAGCAAGCAGCTTTCCTATTTCCTGGTGGATGAGTGATGTCTGAATTACGTTATTACTACTAACTGGCAATATGGATATCTAAATGTCCCAGTTTCACTTATGTAACTTTTGCCATATAACTGGGGCTCTTATTATACTTTGACTCAGGATTTAATTTGGAAGCATTGAGTTATTAACTGCCATCAAGATTTCACCAAGAATCCAGCAAGATAGGGGCAGAGTTAAGATAGGTTTACCTCCTCCAGATGTATATAACAAACCTAATGCAAAACAAAGCCCAGAACTCCAGAGGGAAAGCTGATTATCAGCACACACAGAGTAAAAAGTGAACAGTGTTAAGAGCTCTCTAGGGTAATGTTAAGAAAAATAAAAGCCATATCATGGGGAAAAAAGATGAAAAAGAGAAAGGTAATGAAGACCTATTTACAGAAATAATCACTTTCTTTAGTCTATTTGAAGGAAAAAACATATGATCCAGAAAGTTGCTATCTAAGAGGCCCACAGAGTTCTAAACAGCATAACACATGATGATGAAGTTGTCGAGAACCAATGATGAGGACAGAATATATAAAAAAAAAGGAGAATAATTAAAACATTAAGGGTAATCTATAGGGAAAGATCAATCAGACTGTCAGCAGACTTTTTAAGAAAAACATTATAAGTAAGAAAAGACTGGAAAGAGATACTTTAAACAATTAAACACTTCCAGCTCAGAATCCTTGAGTTGGTAAGATTAATAGTCAAGATAGAAGGAAGAATAAGGAGCTTCAGTGAAATGCAAAGACCAAAAACCAAAAACCAAAAAAAGAAAAAGACTTTATATCAAGACACATATGAAAGAAATCTTAAAGGGGTTATATAAAGCAATAGAACAGTTAATGTTAAAGCAACAGACAAACAGACACCAAAATTACTTAAAATGAAGAAAGAGAAGGAGGAGGAAAATGATAATGTGGTCCACTCAAATCAGCTAGAGACTTGTCCAATGGGTCACATAAATATCCCAGTAGAATTCAAACAAAAGTAATAGCAATAACATATAAGAAAATGGAAATGGAACCTAAACAAAATATAATAGGAAGCCCTCAAAAAAGAAACAAGACAAGGGCCTTCCCTGGTGGTGCAGTGGGTTAAAGCATAGCACTAAGAAGCTAAAGCCACTTCAGCATGAGTTTGATTCCCGCCCTGGAGGTGACCCACATGAAAGGCAGACCTCTCCGGACCAGCCCGCTGTTCCCCTCAGCAGTGAACTTTGTCAATCTGCCTGTTCTGCTACCCACTCTGTCTCTGGTGAATCCTCTCATGGCCCCTGCACCTCTGGCCTGTACCCCAGTTCTGAGTGCATAAGTAAATAAATCTTAAAAAAAAAAAAAAAAATGAGGCCCTCCCTGGTGGCGCAGCAGGTTAAAGCACTGCACTAAGAAGCTTAAGCCACTTCTGCATGAGTTTGATCCCCGCCTGCCCCGGAGGTGACCACATGGCGTGGCAGATCTCTCCTGACCCCGCCCCCTGCTCCCCTCAGCAGTGTACTTCATCTATCTCCCTGTTCTGCTCCCCTCTCTGTCTCTGGTGAATCCTCTCACCCTCTGCATCTCTGGCCTGTACTCCAGCTCTATATGAATAAAGAAAAAAAAAAAAGAGAGAGAGAGAGAGAGAAAGAAACAAGACAATAAACAAGAAATATAAGCCAAGCCTAACAAAATATGCACCAAATGATAGTGCCATGAGATTCATAAAACAATTAGTAATAGACTTAAAAGAGAGATTAAATAGGAAGGGACTTTTAATACTCCAATTACAACAATGAAAAATCAACAAGTATAAATAAAGATAAAACAGCTTTAAGTGAGGAGCTAGATCAGCATAGTTTCATAGATATCTATAGAACACTTCACCCAAAAATAGTGGGGTACATATTTTTTCAGATGTAAACGGAACATTTCCAAGAAAAGACCACATTCTGGGACACAAGGCAACTGACAGAAAAGCACAAAGATCAAAATTATATATAGTACATTTTCTGATGTTACAATATAAGTTAGAAATCAACTATAAGAAAAAAAAACTATAGCTAATGGAGAAAGGACAACATTCTGTTTAACAGCAATTGGATAAAAGAGGAAATCAAAGCAGAAATTTAAAAACACACTGAGATCATGAAAATGATACAAGTTACTAGAATATATGGGATGCATCAAAACCAGATTTAAGAAAGAAGATAATTAAAATATGGGTCCATATTATAAAGCAAAACAAAAACAAAAATCCCAAATAAACAATATCATATCTAAAGGAACCCAAAAAGAGAAACAAATAAGACCTAAAGTTACTCAAAGGAAGAAAATAAAAATAAGATCAAATTAAGTGAAATAGAGTTCAAAATGTTTATACCAAAAAAAAAAAATCAATGAAATGAAGAGTTGGTTAGCATATATGGAGAGATAAATAAAACAGATAAAATCCTAGCTAGGCTACAAAGAAAAAAAAAAACAAAGATAAAAAACATTAATAAAAGAAATTAAAACACTATAGATTACACAGAAATACAAAAGATTATATGAACAGCAACATACCAATAGATTCAATAACCTTGAAGAAATGGATAAATTTCTAAATCAACACAATCTACCAAGACTAACTAAGGAAGAAGTAGATGGAATAAACAGTAATAAAAACACCTTCTGGAAAAGGGCCGCCTCCTTGGTGGCCTAGTGATTAAGTCTCTGTGTTACCATCACTACTGCCTGAGTTTGATTCCAGACCAGAGAGCTGACCCACACAGAGCACAGGGTACCTCTCTGGTCTGGCCATCTGCTCCCCTCAGTAGTGTATTTAAGGTAGAGCTGCCTGTTCTGCTCCCCACTCTATCTTGGGTGAATCATCTAACCTTTGTACTTCTGGACTCCCCAGTTCATCTACAAAACAAACCAATGAAACTCTGAAAAACCAATGCCAAGGACCAGATAAATTTACAAATAAATTTTATTAAACTTCTAAAGAATCAATCCCCACTTTGATCAAATTGCTTTCTGAAATATTGAGGAATACTCTTTAATACATTTTATGATGCCAATAGTACCTTAATAATGAAACCAGACAAAGAACAAAAGAAAATTACAGGCCAATATCCTTGATGAATACTGATGTAAAAATTTTCAACAAAATATTAGCAAGTCATATTCAACAGTATATCACAAGGAACATACACCACAATCAAGTGGATTCATCCAGGGATGCAAGGATGGTCTAATATACATAAATCAATTAATATGATAGTGTTTTGAACAACAGTAAAGATAAAAATGATACTATCAATGGATGCAGAGAGAGCATTTGGTAAGATTCAGTACTCATTTATGGTAAAAACTCAAAATGCGATGAGAAAAAAGAATCTACCTTAATATAATATAATGAAGTCCATATATCATAAACCAACAGTCAACACAATACTCAACAGTGAAGAGAAGAGTAGGAAGATGATATTAGAGGGTCCCTGGTTTGCAAGTATGAGGACACTTTAGAGTAGTCTACACAGGCACTGGAGGCCCCCATGAGTTGGGGACATCCAGAGCATGTGCTGAACCGGTACGGGAGGCTGTATAGGACAGAAGACACGAAGAGGAAATTCAACTCCATGCAACAAAATGTGTGTGGGAGTTATCCTCGGGCGGACACCTCCATTTAAACTCACAACCAGGGAGATACTTGGTACAGATCTAACCATGGAGAGATGCTTGTAAGAGATCTGGGGTTAGCCAGGTGGACAGCACTCCAAAAAGGAGAGACTCACTACCTCCACTTTCCTTGGGATTGGGTGGATATGGAGATCAAAAGGATACAGTGAAACTGAGCTGGAAATTGCCATGGTGCTGCAAAGAAAGCCCTGCCCAGAGAATGCAAGGATCTGAAATCCAGTGAGAAGGGCTACCTGTGGTTCCACAGGCCTGAGCCACATACCCATACACCACAAATTCTGGTGATGCTCCACTCTCAGATATTCCCACAGCCCCAGAAGAGCCAGACACAGGCTAGTTTTCTCTGACACATAGAGCCATCTACTGGAAAGTTGGCAGCTCTGTACTGTTAGTAATAAGAAATTTAATATTGTGGAGACAGAAAAATACAACAAATGGCAATTTTGACTCCTTGGGGGAATACTACATCACAGAAAGAAGAAATCACTAGAACCCAACCACAAAAAAACATGAAGATCTCTTCTTATCAGATACAGAGTCCAAAACTGAAATAAATGGAAGAAAAAATAAAGCTGATCAAAGATAAACAAGAAAACTCAGAAAAAGAAACGAATGTCCTGGTAGATAAGATTAATAGCTTACGATTGAAACTGAAGCTTTAAACAACAAAATAAAAAATGCAGGGTGTGAAAAGAGGAGTTAAAAAAAAAAGCTATAGTAAAAGAATAGACTACATGGAAGGTCAAACCAGCAACCTTAAAGATAATAATGCACAAATAATTCAGGTGGAAGAAGAAAGAGATTTACAGAGAAGAAATGAAGAAATACTTCAAGAATTATCTGCCTTCATAAAGAAAGGAAATCATCACTCTTAGTAAGAGAAATAAAGATTAAAGACTACAATAAGACACTCTACCTCACACCTATGAGAATCACACTTATTAAATAGACCCCCAACAACAACAAGTGCTGGAGAGGATACAGAGAAAAAAAAGAACCCTAGTTCCACTGTTGGTGGGATGTAAAATGGCAAAATCTTTTTGTAAAGCAAAAGATTTACCTTAAAAATTAAAAATGGAAATACCATATGACCAAGCAGTCCCACTCGTGGACACATACCAACAGATTATGACACCTTCAACACAAAGACCCATATGTTCCACAATATTCATAGCAGCAGTTATAATAGGTAGGCTATGGGACAGTCTAAATCTCCTTCGGTGGGCAAATGGATCAAGAAGATGTGGTATATATATTATACAGCCACAGAAAGGATGAAATGTAGCCATTTCTAGCAAAATGGAGGTCTTTGAGAACACTGCCTGCAACAAACTAAGTCAAAACAACAAAAACAAATATTAGATATTCACATAACAGACAATTTCATAATACAAATAAAAACACTTTCAAAAACTACCGAATATCAGCAAACATCCCGAGCATCTGAGAGCAAGATGGATGGGGGAGGGGAAGGGACATGGGGACAGAGGAATGGTGGTAGGGAAAAGAAATCTTTTTAAAAAAATAAACCTGGGCCCTCCCTGGTGGCGCAGCGGGTTAAAGCACTGCATTAAGACGCTTAAGCCAATTCTGCATGAGTTTGATCCCCGCCTGCCCCGGAGGTGACCACATGGCACGGCAGACCTCTCTGTCCCGTCTGCTGCTCCCTTCAGCAGTGTACTTTGTTGATCTGCCTGTTCTGCTCCCCACAGTTCCTGGTGAATCCTCTCACCCTCTACATCTCTGGCCTGTACCCCAGTTCTGTATGAATAAATAAATAAATCTTCAAATAAAAAAATAAAAATAATAAACCTGGGGACAACCCAAATGGCCAAAATTATGATTGGATCAAAAAGATGTGATGTGTGTGTACACCACATGGTGGAATACTACTTGGCAATCAAAAAGTAAGACCATGCCATTTGCAGCAACATGAATGAGAAGGAAGGAATGATGCTCAATGAAATACATCAGAAGGAAAAAGAAAAATATTGAGTGGTTTTTCTTATAGGAGGGATGTAAGAGAACCAAATAAGACATGGAGCATAACTGTATTGTTATTACAATACAAAACAAAACCAAATAGGCAATTATAAACCACAGAGATCCTCTTTAGAAGGGGGAAGGAGAGGAATCAGAAGGAGGGAGGGAGGAATGTGGGGGTCTGTGGTGACCATACATGGGAGAATTGGGGGAGGGGGAAGTAAGCATTGTTTTAAAATGAACAACAATATGAATAGATACACAAATTAATAAATTTAAGAAAAGTCTTTAAAAAAAA